TTGAGTTGGAGTCTCACTCTGTCGCCCAGACTGGAGTGCAGTGGCCGCTCCCGGCCACCGCAGCCTCGACCTGCTGGGCTCTGGCGATCCTTCCGCCTCAGCCTTCCAAGTAGCCGGAATTACAGGCATGCGCTACCACGCCCAGCTGATTTTTTGATTTATTGTAGAGATGAGATCTCGCTGCCCAGGCGGGTCTCGAACCCAGGGGCTCAGGCAATCCACTCACCTCAGCCTCCCAAAGGCGCGGGATTACAGGCTGAGCCACCGAACCCGGCTGACAATTGTGGTTTCTATGTGTCCTCTCAGAGTATGCCTCCAGGGAGTCACTTGATGTCTCCATTTTTCTTTTCCTGTCTGTGATTGTTAGTGCTCCCTGCTCTGTCTCTGAGCTCAGAAGAGTGCAATGCATCTTAAGCAAATGGAAAAGTCAAGAGTATCACAGGAGGGAGGGAAACATTGAACAAGTTAATTACTTTGGGAAGAATCTTCCCATAAGTTCATATTTGACCTTTTTCTCATGGAATGGTATCGACTCCATCTAAAGCCACATCTCCAGTTCTCATGGATCAGCATATGAAGGAACCTTAAATGTCAATTTCCAGGCCCAATTGTGTGAAACTATACAACAGCAGAAATCCAGTCTACAGACTCTCAAAAAGTAAACTGGAATGTTCTAGTAGTTAAAAAACATGCCTCGGTCAGGTGTGGTGGCTCATGCCTATAATCCCAGCACTTTGGGAGGCCGAGGTGAGAGGATTGTCTGAGCTCACAGGTTTGAGACCAGCCTGAGCAACTTGGCAAGACTTCATCTCTGCAATAAATCAAAAAATTAGCCAGGTGTAGTTCCAGCTACTTGGAAGGCAAGGCGGATCCCCTGAGTCCAGCAGCTCGAGACTGCGGTGGCCGTTGAGCGTGTCATTGCACTCCAGCCTGGGTGACAGGAGTGACTCCAACTCAAAAAACAAAACAAAGCAAGCCTACACAGTGGTAAAGATCTGCTTTAAACTGCTAACATGCACAGGGGTCTGATGTATCATTGCTATGTTGACTATAGGGTGCACTTGGGGGATTCAGTGGAATACATTATCAGTATATTATGATTTCCAACTTATCTGCAAACTCCAAGTTTCAAGAGTCTGGATTACTGAGATGGCTTTCATGCCAGCTTTTACTCAATGTAAGGTGTATGGCAACTTTTTCTTGACTTGCCTGTTAAAAACACTTAAAGCAGTTTCTTTTGGAGTGATTAAATGTTTTCAGAAACATCAAGTTGCACCCTGCTTTATTGGTAAGGTCTCTAGAACACCTGCCAACTGCCATACAGGTTTGTGGCCCATCAGTGGGCTGTTAAGACTTAGAACTGTATAGTGATCTAGTAGTTATAAATTACTGATCACTAAGATGTGCTGTCCATCAGTTCAGATTCTCTTGGTTTTTGTTCCATCTTACTGAGTGTTCTGCCTGCCAGCAAGGTTGCTCCATTCCATCAGCGTGCATATATGGGGGTGTCCAAAAGAAAGTGTTCACATTTTAAGAGAATTATGCATTACTTTTAGCTTGCTGTAATCACAAGTGTCTGAACGCTGATGGTAACCACTTTGAGCATCTCGTGTAATTGCAGAAGTCAAACGTGACATTTACTCATCTACAATATTAATCAGTTTCCCCTTTTACCTCTTAGTCCTTGTATTATTTGACTAACACGCCCTCAAATTATTTTCACTTGACTCCCCAGAGGCCCTCCCTTTTATAGCCAGGGCAGTTCCTTCCTTCTTTGAGATGGGGATGTACGTTGTCCAGTATGGCCTCAAACATTACTTCTGCCTCAGCCTTCTTAGTACTGGGACTACAGGCAGTGGAGGTAGAGGTAGCTCCTTAATTATTCTTGGCTTCGCTTCATGACAAGCACTCTCTCACAATAAGACGCTCTAAGCCACTCTCTTGCTTAAAGATACTGCATTTATGCTTTTGTTGTGCTTTTGTCCTACTACCCAGCAGCCAATGTGGCCTCCTCAATATTCATCAGATCCTAACTCTTCTGCTCCAAAGTCCTCCTGCAGCTTTCCTGCACAAGAAGGTCTTCCTCAATGCACTCAAACTCCTCTACCTCATCTCTTCCCACTTGCCTTCTTGGGTCAGCCCAGTGGCATCTTGTTCCCAGATCACACTCGACTGCAATTGCTGTTCTCGTGGTCTGGAATGGTCTGTCCCAATATCCACATGGCCCACTCCACACCTTGAAGTTTGTATTCAATCATGCCTGTAATCCCAGCTCTTTGGGAGATGGAAGCAAGTGCACTGCCTGAGCCCATGGATTCCAGACCAACCTGGGCAACTTGTCTCCACAATAAATTTAAAAACATTAGCCGGGCATGGCAGTGTGCACCTCTGGTCCCAGCTACTTGGAAGGCTGGGGTGGGATTGCTTGATCCCAGCCTAGGTGAGAGTGAGACTCCAACTAAAAAAGTCATATTACAAAGGTCTTCCTAGACAAATCCTCCACACATGTAGCAAAGTCCAGGGCCCACAGGCCACCACAAGTGTCATGTGCTGATGTGTGCAGGTGTACATCACTTATTCTCGCTCAAGATGTCTTGACTCTGGGAATAAACAGAAAAAAAGGCAATCTAAAAGACGACTACCTGGAATCTTCAGTGTTTTCATGAAATGGCTGGGGCTGATCACTTCTGGATTAAAGCCTAGACATGAGGTAAGACATACCAGACTGAATCTGAACATATAGATTGCTAGGATAACTGGGTAAACAAGGTTGCTCCTTATCTGAAATTTTCAAAACAGATTGGGCTAGGGGAGCCAGGTTCATCTCCCCACCAAAGCTTTCTGCTATTCCCATCTGCTTTTCAGCTTTCCAACCCCAGCTCACCAGTTGGGTTGCACCTTGACACTGCCAGACCCGCTCACCCTACCAGGTTATCCTGATTTGGTAGCACTGACCATACCTGAAGACTTCCTTCCTGCTAGTATATTTCAAGAAGGCAAGTGACCTCCTAGACCAGTAACTGGCATTTCCCCCCACATCTTAGTGTCAGAAATCAGAATGCTAGATAGGGCACAGCAACTCATGCCTACAATCCTAGCACTTTGGGAGGATGGGGCTTCCAGGTTGCAGTGAGCTACTGATTGTGCCACCACACTCCAGCCTGGATGATGGAGACTGTCCCTAAAAAATAAAAACTTAAGATCAGAATGCCTGAAACTGCTGTCAAGCCTGATTAGTTTCCACTAAGTATTTGGGTTTTCAATCACCAGGGGACACTAATAACCTCACTAGTTTCTGGACACTACGGACTCTGAAGTCACCAGAACAAACTCTCCAGATTGCTAAAGAATTCACATTCCAAATGGATCACAGCTTAACCTTTAAACTTTGACATGTACATAACCAACCAGGTGAAAGTGGCAGACATCTCCCCTTCTAGTGTCCATCAAATGTTAGGATGGTATTAAGGTTATTAGTTTTGAACTCTTTCCCCTGTATTCCTCCAATCAATCTTGACTGCCACAAGCAGACAGACAGAAAGCGCGAGGACACTTTTTTCTTGCATCTGTAGTGGAAACCTGAATAGCAGACAATTAACTGCTCCAGGTCTGTCAAATAGATGCATTTTCGTATTCATCCTGACCCCACAGCCTTCTCAGATACATTATTTTGCTCTGCCCACCAGCTCTCCCCTTCTAAGTACTTTCATCTTCTAATGCAGGAAGCTGGCAAACTTGCAGGCCCTACTGTGTCATATACAACTCTCATTTTGCATTGAGCAGTCAATTCATAAATCGAGTATGGCAGTATCCCCATAAAACTGGACACAAATTTAAATTTCAAATCCCACAAAGTGTTTTCTCCAACCACCACCCCAGAGTGTATAGAACAGGTGGCAGGACAGGCTAGTTTGCCAAACCCTGCTAGAAATCGGGGAGTTTGACATTCGTTCCAGGAGACTTAACTCTATGTTAAATAAGCTCAGACAATTTGCTTCCAACTGAATTAGTCTCTTTTTATTCTCTTTGTAATCTCTTCCAAAGTTAACTACTTCCGTTGTAGGTGATGAAATGTATAAGGCTCCACTTCGAATGTTGGCACTGTTATGAGCATGGTCTTTCCCTTTACTGGAACTCAGAATTAAAATTCTTGGTTTTTACATTCCAGTCCCAGAAGTAGTTTCCACTGCAGAAGTTATGTGACGACAGTCTTAGGCTGGCTAGTGGCCTACAACCAGGCTTTAGCTTCTCCAGGAACACTACAGGATGGATTTAGTTTAAATATGCTTTAAACTAAAAGGCATTCTCCCAAGTGAGTTTAAATACGTTTTATTTTTAGACAACCTACATGACACGTTTTTCTTAAAAAAACAATGCCTCCACTCCAAATAAATCACGGTCAAAACAAATGAAGTTCAAGATGACATCAGTCCATTTGTCTTAGATCCTGGTGTTGTGTGGATGACAAGCAGTAGCCAGTTATGATGACAGGTGATAGATCCAAAGTAATTGCCAAATTTGTTACTGTAAAAATAAGGAAAAGCACATTAATGTTTTCCCTCATAGTATTCAGCATTCCCAAGCTACAAATGTATTCCCCAATTCAATCTGGGCCGCCACAAAGACAGACAGAAAGCGCAGGGATTTCTTTCTTTTGCATCCTAGTGCAAACCAAAAGAACAACAATTGTTCAAGGTCTATCAGTGGATGCAGAATATCCTCACCAAATCAGAGGTAGCACATTTTCCAGAGAGGCCTAAGGCAAGTGCCACTTTCACTGTGTTCTGCCAATAAAAACCTCATACTGCCTAAATAACCCCCTTTGGCAAGTCACCCTGCTCTGCTGTAAGCAATGTTAGTCTGTTGTTGCCTCTAACCTTGTTCAATGTCCCCTTAGGTTTATTTTTTCACAATTTATGCAGAAGCCTATGAAAGCTAGGATGAGTGCTTTCATTTCTGTATGGCTTCCAGCAGTTCTCTGCACAGCAGTCACTGAGTTATTTAAGTTTGCTAAGGTAATTTGCCTATCAGTTTAGCAGTCAGCTCTAACTGTATTTACATTAGTACTCTCCTAAAGCTTTCAATGATCAGCTGCTCACTATCAATAAACCAAAATGAAAAACATTCATCAATGATACTCATCCACGTGTTGCAATGAGTATGAAGTGAAAAGTCAGGCCTTATCTGTAAGGAAGATCAATGAGGTTGTTTCTGATCTCCAGTTTTGCATTTAAAGTGTACTTCCACAGTGCCCCATCTATACTCATGTTTTCCATAAATGAAGACTCTAAGCCTTTTTATGCCCTAAAAATCTTTCACATGCCAAACAATCCTCTTTTGATCCCCAAAGAGAAACAAAAACTAAATCCGTGTCTTAAGATACCGCAGAATTAATCTGAACTATTCCAGTGGCACGAAACTATGACACCTACGATGTCTTCATTTTCACATTACTAACTTCAACCCACTTCCTCATACTTACACATTTTTCCATCTCTAAACCATCCTTAAAGAAAATCATATATGGGGTCACACCATCCTCACGGTAGTCCAGTAGAGCAACCATGCCATCTGGATTCATGTTTTCACCAATAAAGAACTTGGGAAGCAAACAAATATCCAGAATTAGACCATACATATCCAAATGTGTCACCTCAAAACTACAGAACGAGGAAGACTCAGAAAACCACAAAATCAAGAATTCCAACAACTAAAAGCTCCAATGCCTAGGAGACATGAATCACAAACATCTGCTCACTGGAATTAAGGCATGTTAATAATGACTAAAGTTAGAGTACAGAGCAATCCAGAACACTTTACAGCTTCTGGAAACGTCCTCTCTCCACCCCACAGATACAAGTCTAAATCCTACAAGCCTGCTTACATAATAAAGCACAGGAAGTAAGGCTAAAGCTAACAATCAGTGGTAGCGCATGTTATATAGTTCAGAAGTATCTTATGGCCAGGGCATATGTGAAAGGAAAATCAGAACTGGCGTTTTCCCAAAAGCTCAGGTGTATCACAAAGAGCACCAGTGGTGGTAAGACACTTCAGAATTATAAACGGAAAATTGGAAGAACACTTAGAAAATTAAGAAACAATCAAAGAGGGAAAAACAGAACTATGGTCATCTGGAAAGCAAGTGGGGATGAGATTTTTTGAATCAGACAAGATCTGAACATGCTTGAGAGTGCAAGGCTGCTTCTCACACCCGAACACTAGTGTAGTAGAATCTAAATATTTAAATAGCTGAGCCACAATTTAATTACATGAAGATTAATTAAGTTTCTGCTGTTGCAGTTAAAATTGTGCATCCTTTGATCCAATATTGAAGGCACTTACCTGGTAGTTTTTAAAATTAGCAAGGATGTGCTTGATTTGTTCTGCAGCCCCTGTCATAAAAGGTTTTACTCGTTCCGGTCTCTGTTCTTCAAGTTTGCCTTTGATACTAAAACAATATTTTAGCAATAGGTTAAAGTATTGAATTTTAAGGAAAGTCAATTTTTCAAGTAATAAGTCCAAGCCAAAAAAAATCCTCCAACACTAAAAGGGACAACCAGAGGTTAAGAAATTATCAGTTCACAGAAGACACCTTTCAAGAATGTTTACAATTACAAACCTCTTGTGAACTATTTTCAAAGTGCTATTATAAAAAGTACTATTCTAAAAAGTATTCTAGAACCAGACTGGATGCACACTCCAGTATGCTCACGTTAACAAAAAGCAGGCACTCTTGTCTGTGAGCTCATCAGTAATAAAGGCAAGGCCTTTCCCAAGCACTTCTACCAGAGAACCTCACTAAATCCTAGGCGTCAACTGGGTATGTCACTCACGATTTCATGTAGTCTTTGATGTACTTCTTGTAGGCTTCTTTTGTGAAGCTGGTTTCCTGCAGGTGATGGTTCATGACAATATCAACACCAGTGACCACTGTGCTTTCGGTACCTTCGCCCTCGGGTCCTTCAGCGGAGGCATTTCCACCAATGAGCGAGTCATCAATGTTACCCTCTGTCCTACTGACCATCTGTATTAAAAAAAAAAAGCAGTTTAGTTGCCTAAGACAAAACGCATCCAAAACTCCTCCTATACCAGCACTTCATGGATAATATGCTAGGTTTTTGCTGAAAACTCAGAAAGCACCCTTTTGGGGGGGGAAAATCTAACTCATGGGTTTCCTGAAAGGGCCACACTCAATCAGAACTGTCTGCTGACCCCAAGCCAAGGCTGTTTCCAGTTGTGGGCTCTTGGGTGCCCTGGACTGATAGGTAGGGACAGGGCAAATGCTGCGGGATTAGGACTGCCACCCCGGAGGCCACACGTCCCGGAGGCCAGGGAGGAGGATGGGCGCCGAGGCGGCAGGCAGACCTACATCCAGGCTCAGCTCCGCCTCCACTTTTCTAGAAAAACCCGAGCCCGGAAAGAGCGTCTCCTCCGCTAGGAGGCGGCTGAGGGGATTGCACAACCTCGGGCGGGGGAGC